CTTTAAACACTTATAGATACATTTATATAAAATTTTGATAGGTCAGAACTCATTTTTAAAGTTATTTAGATTATGAACACTAGGTTAAATAACTTAATGAATGATCAATAACTAATAGCTTGATTGATTATATCGAGAAAGACTATAGTATCTTTTATATAGTTAGTCTCATTTGTTATGAAGGGTTGTAATTAGCTTTTTTTTAAAAATTTTTAATTTGTATACATTTTATTATTGATGTTTGATATTTTTTATATTTTATGAATCTTTAAGTATCAAATACAATGCCGAAAATTTAAATATATTATTTTATTTTTATTCATTAGGAGAAAAAAATTTAAAATTTCTGAGGAAAGTGTTCACCCTAGACAGAATATTTGGCTCCACCACTAGTCATAGTATCAATCAGTATAATATCTCCAAATGGTTGTTATGACACTTTATTCTAGAGGACGTATTANTTGTTCTTATTGTTTATGTGGATGACATAGTAGTTACAAATAATGATATGACGGAGATGTCTCGCCTAAAATTATACTTGGCAAGGGAGTTTGAAATCAAAGATTTAGGTCTATTGAAGTACTTTCTTGGAATGGAGGCTACTAGATCTAATAACATCTATTTATCTCAGAGAAAATATGTTCTTAACCTACTTGAAGAGACTAGCATGTTGGGATGTAGCCCATCAGACACACCAATTAAGGCAAATCATAGACTGAGCAATGACGTAAGTGACCATGTGGATAAAGAAATGTACCAACAACTAATTGGGCAATTGATATACTAAGCTCATAGTCGGTCAAATATTGCTTATGTGGTGGGGCTTGTTAACCAGTTTATGCATGACCTTTGCACAGTGCACTTAGATACTACTTACAGAATTATGAGGTATCTTAAGTCCACTCTAGAAAAAGGCATGTCATTCTCTAACCATGGCCACTTGAGGTTAGAGACATTTAGTGATACTAATTGGCAAGTTCAATTGATGATAGGAGATATTCCTCTGGATATTGCACTTTTGTAGGAGAGAATCTGGTTACTTCGTGTAGTAAAAAACAGTATCTGGTGGCCAAGTCCAATGCTAAAGCAGAGTATAGAGCTATGGCTCATGGCGTTTGTAAACTTATGTGGCTTTAATACCTAGGAATTTTGATTGATGTACCAATGAAGTTGTATTGTAACAAGATTATTATTGATATTACTCATAATTTAGTTCAGCATGACAGAACCAAACATATTGAGATTGACAAACATTTTATCAAAGAGAAACTAAACAAGGGGTTTGTATACTTTTTGTGAAATCAGGAGATCAATTGGCAGTTTTTTTTACTAAAAGACTCAATAGTAAGGTTTTTCATCCCATTGTTTGTAAGTTAGACATGAGAGATATCTATANCAGTTTTTCTTTTTGTGAAATCAGGAGATCAATTGGCAGTTTTTTTTACTAAAAGACTCAATAGTNGTTTGTATACTTTTTGTGAAATCAGGAGATCAATTGGCAGTTTTTTTTACTAAAAGACTCAATAGTAAGGTTTTTCATCCCATTGTTTGTAAGTTAGACATGAGAGATATCTATACTCCAACTTAAAGTGGAGTGTTAAGAGATGTCTTATAATAATGAGAGGTATTTATGTACTTGTAGTCTTACTATTATAAATATATCTATACTCCAACTTAAAGTGGAGTGTTAAGAGATGTCTTATAGTAATGAGAGGTATTTACGTACTTGTAGTCTTACTATTATAAATATAGGGAGCTAAAGGAGATAACTATAATCTGATTTTTTGGGACTCTGTTTCAACAGCCACTACATTCATTCAAACTTTCTCTTCATTTCTACTTTTTCCCCTTCTTTCTCTCTTCATATCTTAACAATAATAACTTTACTTTCGCGGCTATAATAAAACACGTTCTGACTTTCTTTCTAATTATTATGTTCGCACACAAATCCCTCATGTCCCAATGTTTTGATAGTTACAAACTTACAATTGTTCTTTCTCCCTCTTTCAAAGGACAAAGCTCAAACCCACGAGACTAGAGTTTAATCCATTAGAGACAGATCTGTACAAACTTTGTGACTCAAATAAGGTATGGTAAGTATAACAATTTTAAGTAATAAGATTTTTTCATCTCATAATTGGTAACAACTAACTTCAGCCCAAGTTGTTGAGAGGGTTTGAGTAGCCAAAACTCCCTTCCATGAGCACCCAAATATATACATAAATCACAATTATCAAGTTTATATCAAGGCTCAATCATGGTTCCAAAAAGCCAAGTGTTTTGTCATGTAACACACCTTACGATCCGATATTTAACCTGCAACACGTTTTATCATGCAACACTTAATCTATACTGTAACATGATTGTTTCAAACCTGATCTGAAACAAACGGATTATAACATTTTGCCCATTCTTCTATCAAGTTTAACCAAAAATTAAGAGCTCTCTATCCCCCTAAAAGAATTGAATCTAACATTCAATTGTTCTCAGTAATGAATTTTATAAAAAAAGGCATTTCAAAATCTGCAAAGAATTCGCAAAAATCAATGATAAAATGCACTCTCTTCTGAAGACGCCCTTGAGTTATGGCCCAACCCAATCCTATATCCACCCCTTTAACATGTATGTCTTTTGAGTTTTCAAACCCTACAATGCCTTCTTATTCTCCACTATTACCAGTAGTAAAATCCACTCTGTCTAATGTCTATATATACAAACACACTCTAGTGAATTGAGTTTACTAAAGAAGTGAATGGATGGATCAACAATGATGGAGGAGGAGGCAAAGAAGAGGGTACCAAGGTTGCCATGGGTTGTAAGTCAAGTTGATGTGATAGAGGAGAGAGAAGATGATTACAGAGATCAGTGAAAAGAGAAAAAGATGATTTGCTTTATTGACACCGGTAGACAAGTGCTATTTGGGTGGTTGAAGCCTTGAAAGTCGACACACTGGCGTTTTTTAGTCCATTCCATCTAGATCTGCCAAAATGCCCTTGTGCAAAATTGTACTCCAAGTTACATGGTTTCATGCAACTGACCTGAGAGGTTTTATTGTGTGCAGTTATATTGGAAGCTTAAATTCTAAAAAACTAGGGTCTTTCTTTTTGATAAATTAAGTCAACCATTATTAGGCGTTAACAAATTTTAGCAACTTAAAAAATAAAACAAGCTCATTTAACATGTCAAAATCATGTCTATAATAGGACGAATTTCATTAAAAACAAATAAAAATATGGATTTGTTTAAATCTGAGTTAAAATGTGGATATAATCAATTTTGAGGGGGTTTTAATCTTTAAAAAAATCAAGCCTCTAGTATTTATTATCATTGTGTAACGTCCATTACGCCTCAAGTCCATTAGAAGGTTAGCGGCAGTGTTAAAATGGCCGATGCAATTATTTAAAACCGGGGAATCAACACAAATTGTGCTCTAAGACATCATGAGAGATATTAGCAAAAATATGGAGTACTGCAAATAATGAGAGTGGAGAGAGAGGGGGGGGGGACGAGGGATCTTATAGCATATTTGTGTCATTGTCGGTGGCAGAGCCACATGAGGATAGGGGGCATGGGCCCACCTTGAATTTAAAAAAAAAAAAATATTATTCATGTATTTTTTAAATTATTTTAAATATATTTAAGTGTGTCCACTCTATTATTTTTTATTATATCAATTAGTATAGTCATATAACTAAATAATTATGAACTTTTGGATACACTTTAAACACTTATAGATACATTTATATAAAATTTTGATAGGTCAGAACTCATTTTTAAAGTTATTTAGATTATGAACACTAGGTTAAATAACTTAATGAATGATCAATAACTAATAGCTTGATTGATTATATCGAGAAAGACTATAGTATCTTTTATATAGTTAGTCTCATTTGTTATGAAGGGTTGTAATTAGCTTTTTTTTAAAAATTTTTAATTTGTATACATTTTATTATTGATGTTTGATATTTTTTATATTTTATGAATCTTTAAGTATCAAATACAATGCCGAAAATTTAAATATATTATTTTATTTTTATTCATTAGGAGAAAAAAATTTAAAATTTCTGAGGAAAGTGTTCACCCTAGACAGAATATTTGGCTCCACCACTAGTCATAGTATCAATCAGTATAATATCTCCAAATGGTTGTTATGACACTTTATTCTAGAGGACGTATTACCGGAGGAGAGGACATATTGAATGGAAATAACAAAAGTGACGTACATCTCGGATTGACAAGCGAAGAACTGGAAAATATGGTAAATAATCATACTACCATGCCAACCTAATGAAACTCATGCCAGAAATTTCTCTCGTACCAAAACTGATGCGAGACAATGAACCTGTTTAGAGCTAGTATAAATAGGTAACTTTTAAGGGCTTTGGAGTAAAACAAGTAAAGTCCGTTTGGACCTTGACTTTTTTACCACTTCATGTAGTTTTTTAGACTTAAAAAAGCTTGGCTGAATCAAGAAGCTGATTTTACGAGCTTTTCTTTTGACTTTTCAAAGTGGTCCCACATAAATTTTTAGTTTATTATATTCATAAAATATTATTAGTGACGTAAAAAATTTGAAATTCATATTTTGAAAATTATTATGCACAATCTACACATACATACAATTAACTTTTTAATTTTGACACAAAAAAAGCCAAAAAAGTTAGAAAGTCACTCCAAACAGACTTTTCCAACTTTTTCAGTTTTTAAAAAACACTCCAAACGATTTTGGGGAACTTTTTTTAAATCTTGATTTTTTTTACAAAGCTTTTGAAACCACAAGTTTTTACCTAAAAAAATCAGTTCTAAATAGGCTCAATGTGAGGTCTACCCCTAATAGGATATAATATATATACTTAATTGAATTCCGAGGAAGGCCAAGGACAACAAAAAAAATGAGACTAGTAATAGAACAATTAATCTGTTTAATCAGGTAAATTAAAATTGAAAACAGTTTTCCAAGTACATTTGTAGAATTCCCAAATGGAAATAAGTAGTGAAATTCAACCTCGTGTATGTCCGGGAGTTTCAGTTATGAGCACCTCATGGCTTGCAAACATCCATTTGTCCCCGTCCTTCAAAGCTATATCAATGCCAGGAATCCTATCGCTATCTACTCCTGATCCAATTACCTACAAGTAACACAGGATGCAAACAAATCCACATTATAAACATAGTGATCAAAACAATTATAGATAAGAAAGAAGGAGAAAGACTACTTCTGAATATGTAATAGCACTCCTTTCATAAAAAGATAATACACTCCTACAAGTCAATCCTAAACGTCCCTGAATTTTATCTGCCTTTAGAGAGGGGAACAGCCATGAATGCAGTAATTTCTTTAAGCATAAATGAACCAATTTTTGACAATTTACTCTTTTAAGTAAAAGTAAACCCAGTACACTGAGATGCCCTGCCAGATTACGTTCAAATGTGGCTTGTCCAACATCTCGTATAAAGTATATAATTNAACTTTTTTTAAATCTTGATTTTTTTTACAAAGCTTTTGAAACCACAAGTTTTTACCTAAAAATATCAGTTCTAAATAGGCTCAATGTGAGGTCTACCCCTAATAGGATATAATATATATACTTAATTGAATTCCGAGGAAGACCAAGGACAACAAAAAAAATGAGACTAGTAATAGAACAATTAATCTGTTTAATCAGGTAAATTAAAATTGAAAACAGTTTTCCAAGTACATTTGTAGAATTCCCAAATGGAAATAAGTAGTGAAATTCAACCTCGTGTATGTCCGGGAGTTTCAGTTATGAGCACCTCATGGCTTGCAAACATCCATTTGTCCCCGTCCTTCAAAGCTATATCAATGCCAGGAATCCTATCGCTATCTACTCCTGATCCAATTACCTACAAGTAACACAGGATGCAAACAAATCCACATTATAAACATAGTGATCAAAACAATTATAGATAAGAAAGAAGGAGAAAGACTACTTCTGAATATGTAATAGCACTCCTTTCATAAAAAGATAATACACTCCTACAAGTCAATCCTAAACGTCCCTGAATTTTATCTGCCTTTAGAGAGGGGAACAGCCATGAATGCAGTAATTTCTTTAAGCATAAATGAACCAATTTTTGACAATTTACTCTTTTAAGTAAAAGTAAACCCAGTACACTGAGATGCCCTGCCAGATTACGTTCAAATGTGGCTTGTCCAACATCTCGTATAAAGTATATAATTTAAAGTACATAAATGGCAGATAAGAAATCCACCCAAAAACAAAAGAAATACAAGGAAAAAAAAATTAGGTAGATGTAGCTTTCCAATTATGTGGTAAAACCGACAAAGAAGTGCAAGCACGAAATAACTAATAGAGGAAGGCAAACTAAACAACTAAAGGGAAAAGAAATTTATGAATGCTCAGAAAAATGCCTTTTCAGTCATGATATTGGTTGTTTGGATTGTTAATTAGTTACTATTATAACTGTAATAACAATATTTTCACTCAATCCAAATATGACATACTTGTCTGATTAAATATCTGAGCATACTACTTATTATTGTTTTCATAAAAGTTTCACATTCTACATAATTCCTACTCTTGTATTTCATACTCAATCCCATATTGCCACTATCAAAATGGATCTCAAAGCATCATTCATTTAATTTAAATACTTGCATTTTGATCCCCAATCTGAATTCAATTGAGCTCATATGGAGCCCTTTAAGTGTTGAATTTCTGATGGGAGAAAAAGAAATTGTCTTTTTAAAACTCTTCCAGAGTTTAAAAAGAGGCTAATTCTGAAGGTTTTGACTCCTCAAAAAAACAGCAGTGCAACTTGGTGTATGCCCTAAATGCAATCATTAAGCTTAACACATCCCTACCCACTTCTCTCTCAACCTTCCAGTTGCTCAAGTTTTAATATTTGCTTACTCAATTTCTGACCAGTTTGCAGCCCTTGGCCTGGGCGCCGCGGTGATGTTGCTCAATTGAGACTTCGGAGTCAAAAAGTTCGAGTTGCAAAAATAGCATATGGGTAAAGTTGTGTTAGACCTCACAATGGTAGAAGGCAAACCGCCCTTTTGCAAAACTTGGCCTAGATTATTAGAATACTTACCAACACTCAACCTCATATGATTGAGTATCCATTGTACAACAAATGCTAGCCCACAAAACCTCCATTGTGAAAACACCCTCCCATGATATTTGTGTTATTTTGTAAAATTTAGTTCAGGATATTCATGCAACATTATAATGTGGTCTTTTGAAAAATATTACACACCATGAAACTATACAGAGCCAAACCCACCCCCCC